ATGACCAAAGGGTTCATGGGTAGGGAGCCAGTGAAAGGGCATACGGTGATTTTTATTTTCTTTACTCATCCTAAAGATACCTGTGATGCTAGCTTATTTTGCTTGCTTACTGTTTGCTTACACAAACTATTATGTGTGGATTGCAGGTGAATGTTGTTAGAGGTCTTAAGTTATATGAAGACATTTTCTCTCCAATTGAACTTTCAAAATTAAGTGATTTTGTGAATGAACTCAGACTCGCTGGTCGTAATGGAGAGCTCTTAGGTGACCCATTGATTGATTTGATTCAGTCCGTGACAATTTCTATATTGTTTTTATTTGTAATTGTTACTCCGTATAAGAGTTGAGTCTAGTCACCAGTAACATATTTGACCTGCTGTAACTTGATATAGTATTTACACTCCTTGCATTCGGCCATTCAATTCCAGGTGAGACTTTCATTTTGTACAACCAGCAACTGAAGGGTAACAAAAGGGAGTTGGTTCAACTTGGCACTCCTATTTTCGGCCATGTTAAGGAAGATCTTGCATCTCAAAAGAGTGAGAATCTTTTTAACAAGTTTGGAATAACTTATGACACGAAGGCATTTTCATTTGAGCACTTAAAGAGCTTTTTTGAAGAAAAAACAATCTAATGTTTTCTTAAAACTACTTCGTGAATATTGTGAACATTGAAAGTGCTTTCTACTATTCATAGCAATGTCCCAATTTTCTGCCAAAGTGCCAAACCCTTCATTTTGAAGTAAAAGTACTTTTATTAGTTTATTACTTTTTGAAAGTAAGTCATTCAAAAACAATCTTAGACTCTCCATATATATAGCATGTAGTACAATAGTAAGGAGTACAATATAAGTAAGATGTGCATTGTAATTAGACAAACTTTAATTTTGGTCATAAAATCATTTCAATTGTTCAGACTTTTTCTTCTTATCAGTATCAAATATTAACCTTAACCTTCAAACATTCAATTTGTTTGAAGATAGAAGCTAGAATCTTATTCTCACTCTTAGAAATGAAATAAAGTTAAGATTAATTCATAATCAGGAATGGACTTTCATTATATATATTCGGTGAGATTGAGTTATTAAGATGAGCAAAAATTTTAGACCGCTAAGGCGCTAAATTAATGTTTGGCCGAAAACCGAAGCTAGCATGAGATATTATTTCTCTCTACACACACAGGCACATCTGCTTAATTCCTCCTTGCCCTTAACTGGAGAAAATTCTACTGTGCAGGCAGTAATGAGCCCATTCCAGCTCTTCTCGAACTTGTCATTGATCACCTTATTCAGTGGCATTTAATTTCAGAGAACAGGAGACCAAATGGATGTATCATCAATTTCTTTGATGAGGTAGGCTAGTCTATATTGCTACACGATTCTCCTGCTTGTGTATGTACGAAGTATTATTTACGAGAACGTCAAGTATTGGTGTTTTATGGTGTAGGGGGAATACTCACAGCCTTTTCTGAAGCCGCCTCATTTAGAACAGCCTGTCATTACCCTTCTCCTCTCAGAATCAACAATGGCATTTGGTCGAGCCCTTGCAGGAGACAGTGAGGGAAAGTACAGAGGATCCCTCATACTTCCCCTTAAGGAAGGGTATGTATGTCTCATTGACAACCTCATCTGTTACACCTCACTGATGCATAAATTAAGAAATTCATTGAATGTCCTATAGAATCTTCCAAAAAGGGTAGTGTTATACACTTACTAAACTAACATTAGCCCTTGTTTGGTTATAATGATTGGAGAGGTGGGACGGGGGTAGGAGAAATGTGCGACGGGGAGGGGAGGGAAATATTATGAATGTAAAGATATACTACGTATTTTGCTTCAATAAAGAAACATGTGAAAGACATTTAAATAATAATAAAAAAACTAAAATAAAATAACAACTCCCCCAATAGTTCTTCTGCTTTACTCCCCTTCCCCCCTAACCTAAAACTTACAGTTTTCCACTTTCCTCTCCTCTCCGAAATCCTTCAGCAAAACAAAGGTTTAATTAATGAGTCTTGGAAGTTGGAACTATTAGACAGAATGATATTTGTAATAAACTTTGGTACTGAGAGATTAGGATGTGTTTGTTGTTGCAGATCACTTTTGGTGATGAGGGGAAACAGTGCTGATATTGCAAGGCATGCAATGTGCTCATCCCCAAACAAAAGAGTTAGCATCACATTCTTTAAAATCAGGACATGCAGTGATGAGAGCAATAATCCATCTGATATTGTACCCCCATTGACAAAAGCCATGACCTTGTGGCAATCTGGCATTCCTCCTTCTCCCTACACCTCTCCAAATCTAAACCACTTGCCTGCCTATGACACAACAACAACGATGGATATAATACCTAGAAGTCTTATTCGCCCAACTCCCGTGGTCATGTTGGCTCCTGTTCACCCGCTGGTTCTAAGCCCTCGGAAGCTTCCTCGTGGCGGTACAGGGGTTTACCTGCCCTGGACCGTTAGAACCACCAGGAGACATCACGTCAAGCATCTTCCACCTCGTGCCCAAAAACAACGGTTCCAGCTGGCTCTGCCCCCTTCCCCGGCTGAACCAGAGGCCCCATCTACTGAAACAAGTGTTGACCTTCCCTGATATTTATACTTTGATGGTGTGCCTTAAGCTCTTAGGGGTATAGTAGTTGATTTTATTACGTCTGCAAATTAAATCTGTGTATTGTTTCAATGAACTTCCAAGTGTACCAAAAAAAGTTTAAGTTGCAAAAAGATGAAAGAGAAAAGAAAAATCCTTTGATTACTTCATAATAGCTCAGTTGGGTTAGGCACTTGGGGTTACTTAATTAGATCATAATACACATATACCAAACTATGCTTTAAAATTGAATCCAACCAATTAGTTAGTTTAGGCATTATAAAACAATATATCTTTCTTTGATGTTTCAAATATAAGGTTATTAAAAAAAGTACAAAACAAGGCAATATAAGGTGTGTGTGTGTGTGTGTTTATATATATACACGCCATTAGTTATTTATAAGGACAGAATCGAGTTGAGCTTTAAAAAAACATTTCATATAAATGATGAAAAATTAAAGACTTCGAATGAATAAGGGGCGGCTATTGGCTTATTGGTTTTTGCTCTTTATGAAACTACTTACACGTGCTTTATTTCACACAAAAAAAACTTCTTGAAATGCATCTTAAAACACACATCTTCATCCCTTAGAAGCTTCCTAGATGGGGGGGAAAAATCAACAGAAAGAATTCTTTGGTGTGCAATAAACTACTATACCCCAACATTATTGATCAAATTCTATAAGCTGATCAATCAGCACAGGTTGTGAGGGGGGCAATATTTGACATCCAGTCCGGTTCCAACTTCCAAGCGTGAACGACCAACATTACAGTCCTGGTTAAGACCAGCAAGTGGGGTAAAGATCATCATCATGTGATTATGCACCATCTCCAATCTTCTACCTACTCAGTCTCCATTGATCCACCACATCCATCACAATCACTCTCATGTTGAAGAAACATGGGTTTTAGCTCTGGGAAGTCTTTGTTAGCTCTGTGAAGTTGGCACGGCAATACTCCAAGCACAGCCAAGACTTGCCACCCAATTCGACACAAGAACAGAGTGAAGATAAATGGCACACTTGGTGTCTGCGCCTTGACATAGCTTGTGTCAGACCCTACTCGAGTCAAAGAGGTGCGCCCTGAAGTTTAGCTATGGGAACGTGGTTTGGATGTCAGACAACACCACAGGTACAGTCAGACGAAGTTGGACTCCACATTATTGGGAGTTGAGACAGATGGATTCTTGGACAATGGAGAGCACAACCAGCAGGGTGGACCTGGTTCTCCCAAAAGAAGACCAGAACTGACAAGTTCTCTGGTTTCTTATTTACTCCGTATAATTCTTTGGTAATTATGCTAAAATCCCATAACTAAAAGCAGACCGAAATCAACCCGGAACTGATTACACTAATGAGCTTCTGATTCCCCCTTGAGATTACCTAGAACGGGAACCGGACCAGAACCTATTCAGGTCCAGTGGTCCACCCCTAGAGTTGGCAATGAAGGTCGTGATGACATCCATGAGGTTGGTCTCATGTGAATATGTGACCCATAGTGTCACCATTGGGGTCTGGGGAAGGCTGGGGCTGCACTGAATAGGGGGATGTTGATGGGGAAAGTGATCTTGCAAATGACGAGAGGGATACTGGCGGAACCGGAAGTTCAGTAAGAGAGCCAAGGAGTGGAACAAATAAAGAAGAGCTACAAGAGACCATCCCGCCTAGGGATGGCCCCGGGCCGGTTCGGGTCCGGTTCAGGCCTAGGCCCGGCCGGGCCTCGGGTCTGTTTTGTTGGGCCCGAGCCCGAACCGGTGGCCACCGGTTCCGGGCCGGGCCGGGCCACCCGGTTAGTTTATTTTTTTTTCTTTTCTCCCCCCCCCCCCCCCCCTCACCCCCCACCCCCCCAAACCAGTCCTAAACATCAAGCCCAACTCAATAAAGCCCAAAAAATGAAAAAAATGAAGGAAAAAAAAAACAGTTTTTGGCCCGGACCCGGGCCCGACCCGGCCGGTTCGCCAAATACAAGGCCCGAGCCCGGACCCCCCCCCCCACCGGGCCTAGGCCCGACCCGGACCCGGACCCGGACCCGAGAACCGGGCCGGTTCCGGGCCCGCACAGTGGCGGGCCGGGCCGGTCCCGGGCCGGGCGGCCCGAACCGGGTCCAAGTCTAATCCCGCCCCCTTTTTATTTCCAATTCGCAGTGGAGGAGAGGTACCCATTGGAGGGTGGTAAAGACTTAAGAGAGGTTTTAGGCGAGATTGGTATTATTCTGAGGGAGACAAGAAACCTCAGATCTCAGGATGTTCCCGTCAGCACCTTTCTGCATCATTATAACACATCCATTGCAGCACACACAGTATTTCATTCCAATCTGCATGTGGTTTAATGCACAGTTCTATAGTACACAACATCCAAATTTGAACTCCAACGATTTTTCATGTAACAGTACAAGTTATTTCATTTAAGCGCTTTTCTAAAAAATGAACCAACTAATTCAGTTTGACCCTTCCAAGCGCCAGCTAGATGCTAGGCCTTTTTCTTTTCAAAAATACAGTCGTTATATATTCAAATGCTCAAATTATGTACATTTACTATCTACACATATCCAAGAACAAAATACAAAGATTCATGCACATCTTGCACTCAGTTCATTGGCCTACACAAGCAGCATTAATTGAAAAAAAAAAAAAACTAAGGCTGGGGTAGAGAAAAGCACAGTGGAAGGTTTAGGGAACACCGGAATCCCCATCTAAGGGCTTCTTTGATTCAAGATTTGGGGGGTGGGGTATTTATTTTTTAAAGATTTCTGTATTTTGGAAGTTTGAAATAAAGTGAAGATATGAAATTATAAAGAAAGGTATTATTTGACTGATTTTCTAGTTAGATCTAGATTACATCCATCAAATTAGCAAACTAAAAAACAATCCTCCCCTACCATTCCCTCTGAAATCCCCAAGCCAAGCAAACTTCCAAATGAATGAGAGTAGCTCCACGCTCTCACTTAAATGGGTATTTTTGTTAAATCTGAAGCATTCCCTGTACCACCATTCACTGTGTTTTTCCCTACACCTAGTGTAATTGTTGACAAAAAGAAGTTTTTTTAGAAAAAGAAGTGAAAGACTTAAAGCTCATCTTTGAAAGATGAAGCTTTATGGCACTCCTCATCCCAATAATAAGGGTACTTCAATCTAGCGGCAGTGTGTGGCATGAGCCAGTCATCATATATGAACCTGCAAGCAAATTGCGTCAACCAAACTTTGGTTCAGAAACTATCAAAAGAAGGAAACATCACTACAGCTATGTAAGGAACACTAAAAATGGTGGGTGAAAAGCTTAAAAAATGCAAGGCAAATAGTTTACTCATGATTGGCTTTTACCTCGGAAAATAAAAGGAAAATCAAATTTGATTGAAACATTTAAAAATTGTGCATACTATCATGGTATCACCATCCAATTATTATCTCCTGTTTTGACGTTGCACACAAATTAAAGTAAAACTTGTGTGGTTAAAAGTTTTTTTTTAACCCGGTAGGTAAACCACCATAATCGGTGGGGTAAATGCCGGGGAACATTTACCGGATGTAATTAAAAGTTTTCTTCCACAGAATCTTTGCCATAAAAGGAAGGTGAAACTTGCTTAGGGGCAAATGGATAACGAATATATGGATTTTATTTTGGGAAGTATAGACTATTTCAATTACTGGAGTATATCTTTATATTATAGAAAGATATAAATAAATGTGTTTGGACAAATATCTAGAATTGATTTATTGAGTTTGAAGTCTTTGAACCCAAAAAAACCTTTCAAGTTTCCCTTTTTTCCTTTCAGGATGCTCCTCTGTTCTCCCTCCTGTTTTCTTCCCTTACCATTTCCCGGCTCGGAACAGACCCTAGACAGTCTGATGGAGAAAATGTTTTAGTAAGACCTTGTGGTGGCGAATAAGAGGAAATAATGCTTACACTTTCACGGGAGGTCGAGAAATAATAACCAAGACCTGCAAATCCTCAGATTCACCCGTGTTCCAAACCTGAAACGAGATAAAAAAAAATGCTAACACTTTAAACACCAGAAATGACATAAAATGGAATATTGAGTGCGGTTGATCTTAAATTACTGTAGTAAATAAAATATCAAACAGGAATTATATAAATGAAGCTCTTGAAAAATAATTTAATGATTTAAAACATGTAACCATCCAAGACCTTCCATAAATGTCCATTTGTTTCCTTTTAATGAGTTCAATCGAACATAACATGTCAAATGCAGTACTATATTGGTTTTTTAACGTGTAATCCGTTTTTATTCATCCATTTGTTTACTCTTTGGACCTGTTGGGTGGTCAGTAAGAACTTCACCACCAAAAAATGTACACAATGAGAATGAATAGACTTGCAACAATCTTGGTACTTTCAGGAAGCATTGCGCTCCTGTATATTAGATAATATATAAAAAAATGTGATCATATGGTCTCTAATGGTATGTTTGGATCTCGGAAAATGCTATTGGATTATGTTTGGTTATAAATATTCTTACACATATGTAAATTTCTTAATCTTTTTATAAGAATCTTATATAAGTAAAATGTGTTTCTTTAAAAAATTAATCAGTTTTAGCCTATGAACTCTTTTTCTGCCACATTTTCTTCCCTACCAGTTTCCCTTACTAATTTCTTCCCATAGTATTTCCTGGGATTCTGATGTGTCCATATTCACTAATTAATTGCGCTTTAGCAGGCCCCATCTTTTATTACAATGTTACCAAAACCAGCACATATCAGGATATGAAAAGATACATATTTATTTATTTATATCAACAAAATCAATAATATCAACTAAACATGTCTCATTTAGCAGACTTATCAAAGTGAAACAATACTCAATATATTTACCTGGTGAGCGTCACCGGTAGGAACCTGAAAAGTGCTATTCGTGAAGACGGGCATTTCCTGTGGGTCCCCAGGGTACTTTGGATGTGAGTTAGATGCGAGGTAGAGTATTCCGTTCCCCTTGAGTACAACAAACACTTCCTCACAAGAGTGTCTATGGATAGGTGTTCTTGAACCCGGGGCAAATGTTTGGAGCCATACCTCAACCTGTTCAAATGATTTACATTTTAAATACTTAGGAGCACAGAGGTAGCTAAAGCCATATTTGGATCTTATAAAATGCTAGGAAAAGGAAATAAAATGCCAGGGACAGATAATTTTAAGTGATTGGCTTCACCTTAGAAAATGTAAAACAAAATAAAGTTATTAACTTTTTTACAAATGTTTAAAAATTTCAGTATTTGTACGAGAGAATAAGTGGAAAGAATGAACTTGAACAAATAAAAAGAATGAACTTATTATGTTTGAAAAGATGTTTTATTTTTCCCTCAACATTTTATTTCATTCCAGATTTCTTCTATAATTTTCTTTAGTTTATTCCCTTTGCATTTTCCAGGTAGAATTGGTAAAATTGAAAATAAGTTTTTCAAAAACAATTCCAAATTCTACCAATACAACAGGTCAACAAGATAGCAGCTGAAAATGTTGCATTCCTTGAAATTATAAACAATTATTTCCCCAATTTGGATCTTAAATAGGAAATCTAACCTCTTTCATGCCATGCAGTACTGAACCTGCCAGTGTGATGTGAGACAAACCAGGTCTTCCGTAGTTATCTTGTGGAAGCTGGCTGATATTCCTAACAAGTGGCAATCCTGCTTCAGAGAAGAAAACTCAGCCAGTATTTCATGAATCTAGATTAAATTAGATGTGAAAAAGAATAATAAATAAGCGATAAAGAATGTACTATAGTATACTAATATGAAATAAATGGGTGTCAGGACTCAGGAGTGAAGTGAAGACGGCTTACCTTGGATGGAACATTGCGAAGCTTCGGATGTCATGACCAACAAAACGGCCACGAATAAAACTCCGACTAAACGCCGGTACATTTTCACGATCTTACAGTCCGAGTCTACAGCAATTGTCAGGCAGGGAATTTAGTGAAGGGTTGGAGTGTAGAACGGGATGATTCGATTGGGGACTTCGGGTCTACAAAATGGGGGCGGTCATAAATTCTCATATTTTTAGAGCTTAGATTTTAGTTGGTAGGCCAGAAATTCCTTGTGAACACTGAAAATTTTTACAAGTGGTTGTAAACACTTAGGAGAACAGTTGTTCGGATCCTATAGTGTGGTTAGATAGATAGAGTACCTTTTGATCCCCACTGGATCAATCGAGAAAAGTCTTAAGGACTGAGTAACTTTGAGTGGTGTTATACTCATCGTGAAAAACCTTCAATCTAGGCCAGAGTTGTCAAGGCTAGATTGGCACTAATTGTATTGGGCTGAATACTTTAGTGGAAATCCATCTGAAATAGGGTGGGACTGGATGTAGGAGGATTACACCACCTCTGAACCAGGATATATCGTGTGTTGATTTACTTTCATACATACAGAGCACACACCAAACACATCTCCCAAAAGGATTGTAGTTTGCCAGCAGCATCCTAAGCAGTAGTCTTCATCGACTGTACTGCTTAGCCTACTGCTTAATAACTCACTCTCCTTGAGAGTGTTTTCCACTAGAAGTTATCTTACACTCAGAAGGTGCCTCAGCAGTACCCTGGTCTTCACCCTCCTGCTGAGCCCACTGCACATCCATATGTGTCTTTCCGAACGCCATAACAAGCCAGAACATAAAGCCATCCAAGAGTCATCCGGTTCTTAACAGTTGCCTCAGCAGTAACCTGCCCACCAACCGACTGCCAACTCAGCAGTTGCCTGCCAGTCAGCAAACTGCCTGTGCAGCAGTAGACTAAGCAGTTACCTGCTCACCAGTCTACTGCCAAGCCCACTTCCTCTTGTAACCAGTCTAAACATCATCTAAACTAGAAAGTTATCTCACACTGAGTATAAAGAGGTTAAAGACTTCCGCTGTGCATCTATTAATCTCTTAAAAGATTATAGATCAACTCATCTAGAGGGAAAACTTCATAAAGTTGAAAAAGATTTAAAAGTCTATTCACCCCCCCCCCCCCTCTAGACTTTTACCTCTATCCGGGACCATCAAGTGGTATCAGAGCAGTGTGTTCCTAGAGTCAGTTTCTGACTACTTTTGAACTAAAGATCCAAATCCACTTTTATCCCAAACACTTTCTAAAAATGGACAGTCAGTTAGCCAAGAATCTTCTGTTCAACTTGAACAAATTTGATGACTGGAAAATACGGATGAAAGCACATCTCAGTGCCTTACATGATGAGATGCTTGAAGTAATTACTGATGGACCTATCAAAATAATAAAGGTCATCACATCCAGAACCACAGAAGGGACAGATGATGTGTACATTCCAAAACCCAAAATGGAATGGACAACTGAGGACAGGAAGAGAAACAATCTTGACAACATTGCCAAGGACATTCTCTTCAAATCTGTTGATGAATCTATATTTCCCAGAATCAGGAAATGCGAAACTGCCAAAGATGTCTGGGATGAGCTAACAAAGATTGGAGCAGGGGATGAACAGGAGAAGGACAATAAACTGACCATAGCCCTCAAAAAATTTGAGGATTTCAAAATGCTGTCATCTGAATCTATCCATGAGATGGAATCCAGATTCCTGAAGATTGTGGCAGAGGTCTCTGACCTTGGGAAAGAACTTTCTCAAAAAGAAATTTCCCTTAAAATCTTGAGAGGCCTGCCATCAAAATGGGACATGAAGGTAACTGCTATGAGAGATAGTAGAGATCTCAGAACTTTGTCAACTGACAAACTCTTCAGTGGTCTCAAGGCCTATGAATTTGAAATGAAGGAGATCAAAGAAGAGAAGGAAGATGAATACAAGACACTAACTCTAGTGTCTGAGCCAAGCACTTCAAAATCTGCTGAAAAATCCCTCAATAATCTCCTCACTGACGAGCAGTTTGCTATGTTTGTGAGGAAATTTAAAAGATTCATGAAGAAGGAGGGTACTGTTCCAAGGAGGTCATACAATCAGCCACCCAGGAGACAAGGAAGACCTCAATCAAGTGAGGACACTATTCTATGCTATAACTGTAGACATCCAGGACATTACAAGAATGAGTGTCCTTTACCACTGGCTCAAAAGTATCAAGGGCAACAGGCAACTGCTCGAAAAGGAGAATACAAAAAGGACTTCAAGGGCAAGAGACAAGCCTTTGTAAGTGAAAAGAGGAAGGACGAATCCCAAAGTGATGATGAGAGCAGCTCAAGTGATGAAAGCTCCTCATCCGGAGACTCAGAGGAGGCACTACTATGCCTGGGATCCTGGCAGATGGCTGAAGAAAGGAGCAGATGGCTCGGCGAAGATGATGAAAACTGCTCCAACAACTGCCTAATGGCCAAAGACCACTACAATGATGTTGAGGTAACATCCTGCTCTACCTATAGCTCTAGTGATTCTGGACCAACCAATGTCACATTGGAATCTTTACTACAAGATTTTCAGAAAGTCCAAGATCACCATGTTCTCTTAAGATCAGAAAATGATAGATTAAAACAAGACATTAAGGCCATTCATTCCAAGTTGTTAGATGCCTTAACCAAAAACAATATCTTAGAGGAAGAGAACAAAGAGCTGAAAAACAAAATGACTAACTTCGGCATGAATAGTAAAACCGGTAACTCTACTGCTGAAGTTGTTCTAAATAGGAAGAGAAGAGGGCTCGGATATGTATCCCCCACCAGATTCACTCAAAACTCACCCTCCACAAGCCACCAACAAAACACAAGTAAGCTAATCTACCAAAAATCCCATTCTCAAAATGTTCCCATTAGAAGGAACCTGCCTGCTCCCAAATCAAAATCCAATCTCCTGAATAATCAAAAACTTCCCTACCATCAAAACCCAAGAACCCGTTGGCAATCAACCAATAAGACCAACCACAGTCAAAACATTAAGCAGTCTCCTCCAAAAGCCAATAATCCATTTTCCACTTCAAGAAGAAAAAGGATTAACAAATACATAGCCATCCCCTTTGATTATAATACTTCAAATGGCTATAGACCAATCTGCTTAGAACTAAGTGGTTCTAGATGGGCATGGATGCCCAAACTTATACAAAGGAAGTTGCCCACTAACTTGTGGGCTACTGCTCAACAATGATGAATACAGGAAAGTGCTGGAGCAGTTGACTCACAAACATGGTACATAGATTCAGGCTGCTCCAGGCACATGACAGGCAGCAGACGGCTCCTGTCCAACTTTATGGCAAGAGAAGGACCCAAAGTGACTTTTGGGAATGTGGAAAAACAAGGAGAGACCAAAGGAGCTGGAGACCTATCCATCAATGGACTTACAATCCAAAACATATCTTATGTTAAAGGATTAAAGTTCAATCTCATAAGCACAAGCCAGCTCTGTGACAATGGCTATAATGTTACATTCTCCAAAGACATCTGTTTGATTAGAGATGTCAAAAATGACAAAATTGTGCTCACTGGTAGAAGAAAGAAGGACATGTACATTGTTGATTGGAGCTCAGCAAAGGAAGGGATCTGCTTGGTGACAAAGGCAGACTCAAATTTGAGTTGGGAATGGCACAACAAATTAAGCCATCTCAACTTCAAAACAATCAACAAATTGTCCAGAAAAGGATTGGTGAAAGGTCTTCCTGAGATCAATTTCAAAAAGGACCATCTCTGTGATGCTTGCCAAAAAGGGAAACAAACCAAGGTATCATTCAAATCAAAGGAACTGGAATCATCAACTAGGCCCTTAAGCCTACTACACCTTGACTTGTTTGGACCAGTTGAACCAACAAGTTTAAGTGGTAGAAGATACACACTGGTGATAGTTGATGATTATTCTAGATACACTTGGACCGTATTCTTAAAGAAAAAGAATGAAACAGAGAAGAAACTTCCAGAAATGATGAAACTGATTCAAAATGAGAAAAGTCTCTCAATCCAGAAGATCCGGTCAGATAGAGGTACTGAATTCCTCAACTCTATAGTAATTCAGTACTGTGAGGAAAATGGAATCCATCAGCAAACTTCAGCTGCAAGAACACCTCAACAAAATGGTGTTGCCGAAAGAAGGAATAGGACACTCAAGGAAGCCGGAAGGACTATCTTAGAAGCAGCTGGCTTACCCAAAATATTTTGGGCAGAAGCAATCAACACTGCTTGCTACACCCAGAATAGAAGTCTCATTCATAAGACTTACAAAAAGACTCCATATGAACTATGGAAAGAAAGGAAGCCTAATGTTAGTCATTTCCATGTGTTTGGATCCAAATGCTTCATTCTAAACAATGGAAAAGACTATCTCAAGCCATTTGATCCCAAATCTGATGAAGGAATCTTCCTGGGATACTCAGCAACAAGCAAGGCATTCCGGATCCTCAACAAAAGAACTCTGGTGGTAGAAGAATCAATCCATGTGGTTTTTGAAAACCACTCCACTGCTCAATCAATAGATAAAGGTGAGTCATCCAAATCAAAGAAGGACACAGGAAAGGCTCCAAGCTGCCTTCCAAATGATTATGCTAAAAAGGATGGAATGATGGTGGAAGCAGTTAACTCTAAAGGCAGCCCACTGCCAGCAGTTGCCTCTGACTATAGAACACTGCCAGCAAGTGACTCACCAACAGATCCCCTTTCAGGAACTCATGAAATTCCTAAGTATCCTATTCTACCAGAGGACAGTGAAGAAGATGAGGAGGATGACCAACAAATGAAAACTAACTCTAATCAGACATCTGATATTAGATGGCTGAATCAACATCCACCACAACAGATTATTGGAAACATCCATGAAGGGGTTCGTACCAGATCATCAATCCAAAGAGAAGCACTGTTCTCATGTTTCATCTCACAACCTGAACCCAAGAAAATTGAAGAAGCCCTACTTGACTCTGACTGGATACAAGCCATGCAAGAAGAACTCAACCAATTTGAAAGAAACAATGTGTGGGAGCTTGTGACCAGACCCTATCATCAACATGTGATAGGAACCAAATGGGTGTTCAGAAACAAGATGGATGAGGAAGGCACAATTATCAAGAACAAGGCAAGACTAGTAGCCAAAGGCTACTGCCAGGAGGAAGGGATAGATTTTGACGAAA